TAGACATGCATCACGTATCTACTATTTGCAAGGAACTGACACCGATATCCACAAATGCAACTAACTGACAATATTGAGAGTATGGGGGTGGGGTGGGCTGGAAACTACCTCCCAAACTAGAGGCCACTAGGAGAAGAAGAGATGCCACTCAGGTATGACAAAGTAATCTCTTACCAGTGGCTAAAATTTAGCTCTTCCACAAGTGACATTGATCACCGATGGCCCATTGGTGGATTTGGCAATGAACACTTGGTGCTTTCCAAAGAAATGGCAGCCATTTTGGGGTCATGTGTAGAATTCTTGGCTAATCCATGGCACAAGAGCAAATGGTACTAGAGGGCGAAGCAATTTCTCTGTGGCAAATAAAAGGAACAACACAAGAGCAAAGCAAGAAAAATGGAGCATTTGCCCACGAAATGTCAGTGAATGCCAGTAGCTATAGATTGGCTTTGTGAAGCAGTCAGAGGTGTTATAAATTGAAGCCAAAAGCCTTGTAGGTTGCAGGTGGGACTGAATACAACAGGCAGTTGCTCCCATAAGTACCTAACACAAATATGACTCTGCCTTTGTGTTGAGACAGTGTCTAGTCACTCATACTTCTCTTCCTTCAAGCTTGCAACATCACGGGACAGCCCCATGTCCCACCATTCTGGGCCACATTTTGTGTTTCTGGGACTATTTAGAGAATATTCTGTGGGGCAAATAAACCATGAAAGATTGTTTTCCCTTTTGGCTTCCTCTTCACTATTTGTGAAGTTATAATAATAATAGCTAGTCTTTTTATCGTGTTTTGAAGTTTGTAAAGTGCTTTACAAATATAATGTTATCCTCACAACAACACTGGGAGTTAGGTACTATTATAAGCTCCATTTTACAGGTGAGGGAACTGAGGCAGACAGAGGTTAAGTGATTCGCTCAGTGTCAGGCAGCTAGTATATGTCTGAGGCTAAATTTGAACTTAGGTCTTCCTGACTTCATGTCTAGTGAACTATGCCCTCTTTCACTAACCTACCACATCCTATTCTATCTAGACTATCTTGAAGCAGAGCTCCTATTGGTAAACTTAGACTCTCCTAAGCCCAGCCGTTAGAGTGCTTAGAATTTCACTTATTGGATGGCAGAAAAGTGGCAAATTATCTTACTAATTTCAAAGTAGTTCTACAATTGCCACATCATTTAGGGGACAACTGATTGGACACACCTATGTTATCATTACAGACAGTGAACTGGTTATGAGCAAATTCACTTCCTTTCAGTTAAATCTCTTCTGGAGTTGTAAAAGGAAGAAAACACATGAAAGAGCACACCTCCATAACCTGGTAACATATTAATTTCAGAGTGTTTTTAATTTAGATTTGAGTCCCTAGGAAAATGGGTATCTCTCTGTTGTAATGTGGCTGTTAATGTACCACCTTCTTAATGGAAGTACTGTGATTAATTATGATATTTGATTTCCCCCCCAAAGTACAAGCTTTAGTATTTTGAACACTGATATTAGACTATGTATTCCAAGAGCAGTTTTGTCCCAGACTGAGGTAGCCAGAGGACATGGGTTATCATTATCTACAAAGTGTCTTATACTCATCCAGCATTGAATAGATGCTTGTTTATCGGATTGAATAATGGATTTTCGCTACCATTATGAAATATAAACAATTGGAACAAGAGCAAGCTAATTACGATGCCATCGGTTTCATTAAATCATTATGCCAATGCAATAATTGTTGGGTCTTGGAAATCCCATGGCTGTTAAAATTATTTAGTGTGGGTTTGAATGACATAATTCTTTGTCTCTCACTATTTGTGTTTGTGGCTTAAATTAAGAAGTCCCAGAATGTCTGCTGAAACATAGCAAAACCACAGTCTCCATGATGTAAAGATGGGCAGGATATATTCTCTTGTTAACATAATATTTGTTACACAATGTAACATTTTTTAAAGGCATGTAATTTGAATCCTGCCTGCAGACATATCTGTCTTACAAACACTTCGTAATTAGAGTACACACATAGCTCAGTTTTTTGATGGTAGAAAAGGGGAAAAGGAATCTACTTGTGTCTGCCACAGCTTTTGCCATTTGATCTGGAGCTAGCTTCTCACTCAAATCTAGTTGTCACATGAGAGAGCTGGCTAGCTGCCTGCAGAGCCATAGGCCGACTTGGGGAGCACTGGATTCTGTAATTCTGACTGACTTTCCAAGCCAATTTTCACATGGCTGCTAACTGAACAAAATGCTTAGTTACATTCTCATTATGTGTGTGTATTATTTTTAATATTTTTATCAAAATATTTTTAATATTTTTGTGTTTCATAAACTAACTTATTTGTGAAAATTGATAACCATCTTTGGTTTTGTACATCAATTCCCCAAGATCTGGAGAAAGAAGATAGTAGGGGATAATATTTCACCTGGCAAATTGATTGTTTAAAAAAATGATAGCAGAAAATGGGCTTCCCACTTACAACCTCATATACCCCTTCACACTAAGGAATCAGTGACTGTTGGTGTGTAACTTATATATAGGCCTATAACTATGTGAATGAGGGGTTAAATGATAAATAACAATGTTTTTCATCTTTGTTATCTACTCTCCCACTTTGAGCCTCAGGAGGCAATGTTGTTTTGAGCATAGGGGAATTATTTATTTATTTATTTTCTTTCTTTCTTTCTTTCTTTCTTTCTTTCTTTCTTTCTTTCTTTCTTTCTTTCTTTCTTTCTTTCTTTCTTTCTTTCTTTCTTTCTTTCTTTCTTTCGCAATTGGGGTTAAGTGACTTGCCCAGGGTCACACAGCTAATAAGTGTCAAGTATTTGGTCTGAGGCCGGATTTGAACTCAGGTCCTCCCGATTTCAGGGCTGGTGCTCTATCCACTGTGCCACCTACCTGTCCTAATTATTTATTTTCTAAAAACTCTGCTATGATGGTCTTTCACCAAAGGGCTTGGGTTTCAAATGGAAAATGCAATGGGGCCTAGTCTCCTACATTCAGAACTTTCTCATGAAAATCTGAGATGGATTTAAAGCCCCATTTTCCTTGAAGTTGGTGATTATTGGGGCTGCTGTTAGCACTGGAGTGGGGATGGTGGTGGGGGAGTGAAAATAGACAACTTTCATTATTAAGGAAGCAGAAAGGCAGTCCTTTTCTCCTAGGAACTTACATTCTTATGCAGGAAAACAATAGCTAAAAAGGAGGTCAAAGGATGGGGAGAACAATGTGCCCTGCTCAGGGGCCTGATAGAGAAAGTCCAGTGGAGTTGAGTCAGGAGGGCAACCTGGAGACTAAGGAAGAAATCTTTGTACTGGGCGTTGTCCTCAAATGAGAAGTTCTAGGAGAAACCAGCCTCTCAGAGGATGATGCCTAGAGTACTTTGAGTGTGAGAAGGCATTCAGGGGGTGGAGTGAGCTTCCAGGATGAAGAGGTTTCTGTGGCACAGTTGATAAAGCTCTGTGCAGATGAGCTCCTGGAGAGGGAGGAGATCAATAAATCAAAACCCAGATTAAGTGATGTTAAATCCTGTGTTCTTTCCTCACTGTCCTCTGGATCTGAAAGAAGAGCTATAGGGAAGGAGGTTAGGGGGTCAGTAATAGAGAACAGTGAAGTTAAAGTAGACAAATTCCTATTCTCCCCTGAAGGACAACTCTAGTCAATACAGTGACAGACAATAATTCCTGAGGACTCACATTGAAACATGCTACCCACCTCTTGCAGAGAGGTGATGGACTCAGGGTGCAGATTGGGATATGTGTCATTGGGACATGGCCAACATGGAAATTAATTTTGCTTGACTATGCATATTTGAGGGAGCTAGGTGGCATAGCAGATAGAGTGCTGGACTTCAAACAAGAAAGAATGGAGTTTAAATGTGAATTTAGATACTTATTAGCTATGTAATGGGCAAATAATGTAACCTCTGTTGGCTTCAATTTTCTCAGTGTAAAATGAGGATAATAATAACATCATCGATCCCATCTAGTTTATGTCTACATGTGGCATAACTTCCAGATGAGTCCTTGTCTTAGCTTCTGCTGGCCTGGACCTAGAAGGTCATTCGTGAAGACTGATCTATGCTTTTTGGGGCTTCCATGCTGTAATGGCTTTGGGACCCAGACTTTGGAACCCTGGGAAGCGGAGGTGCACTCTGCACCAGGGGTGGAGAGTCTGTGGTCTCGAGGCCACATGTGGCCTTCTAGGTCCTTGAGTGCAGCCTTTTGACTGAGTCCAAGTTTTACAGAACAAATCCTTTTACCAAGGAGGTTTGTTCTGTGAAGTTTGGATTCAGTCAAAGGGCCCCACTTGAGAACCTAGAGGGCCACATGTGGCCTTGAGGCCCCAGGTTCCCTATCCCCCCTCTGGACCTTTTAAAACTCTCAAGATTGGTGATTCCACTCTCTTCACCTGGAACAGAAAAGAACAGACATACACAGAGGTCAAACACCGAGGTCATTTTTAAGGCCAAAGTCCTCAGGGAGGAGAAGGCCCCATAGCCTCTCCTCTTACAGCACAGTCTCTCACCAAATGCCAAAGTAAAGACGGCCTGCTGGTAGTTTTATGATCAGAGACAACCATTCCAAGAACAGCAGCCAGCCCAAGTGAAACCCCTACTCCAGGAGAAAAAGGACATTTCAGTGACAAGAATTTGTGCTTTTCAGAAGAAGTAAGGATAATATTCCTAAAAGCAAGAAAACCCCTAAGGGCATGTAACACTCACTTGATTTAGCCTCTGAAATTTTACTTAATTTGTGAATAAATCATTTTTCTTAGGCCAGTTAGGGACTTCTTAATCAATCAGAGGTCTGAAATCTAACTTGTTCTCTGCTTTTGCTTCATGGTCAGAGATAATCATGCCTGGGAGGGATTTCTTGAATTATTGAAGGTCTGGAATTTAGCCAGTTCTTTGCAGTCTTGTATGTGACTACCACCAAACCCCAGGATGAGACTGAATTGAACATTTCTCTCCTAGAAACAAGAACTACTGGAAATCCTCTGCAGAAAATAACCACGATGCCAAGTGGACGAGGTAATTCTTCCTATGTTGCCATTCCTTTTGTGAATTTGTTATCAGTTTAGACAAATAGCTACAGAACTGCTTCAGCTTCCTAAAATGTGGAACAAGGGGATCACCAGCCTGTGATCCTACCATGAGTAACCTCTGGGATGCAGCTCTAGTTCTGGCTAGGTGCTTTTCTATTAGACCTCGTGGTGCCTTTGTGGGCCTGTTTTCAGCCCACCTGATTCTTCCCTTTACTCTTTCCCTTTCCTTCATGTAGATGGGCAGTGAGAAACATCTACTTTTTCTTCTGAGGGGCGGGGGTGTCTGGGCAAAGTCATTGCAGCTGTCAGGGAAGCCTCAGGTAGGGTTGATGTCTTCCTACATGATAGGTATGAGATTAACCTGATGCCCTCTGCCACTCACACATCAAGACATGTTGGGGAAGACACTGCTGAGTGAGTGTTCTAACTATTAAAGTTCTCTACTTGTTAATTCATGAGAGCTCAACCCTATCCAGGGCTGTTTACCTTCTTATCTGGATTGTAATTCCTTTGTTTTGGGATTGAAGAGTTTAAGAAGTTGGTAGAGAGTGATTAATCTGCTATTTTGGAAGTAGGACCTCTCCTTATAACAGCATCATATGCTCACCCTAAAGAGCAGACTTCGTTTTATAGCTGGTACAGTGCCCTGGGCAGGGCTATTTCTTGATTTCTCTAGTTATTCTTTAGATTAAGGCTAGGCTACCTAGTCAGAGCTCATATATCTCCTCAGGCCTTCTTAATGCTTGTAAAGTGGGTTTGTTTTACTCTCCAGATTGGCAGCCTCCAACAATTGACCCTCAGGGTATTTCTATGTGCCCCTAGTGAAGTGAATACATAGTCTTTGTGGCCAGTACTATTGTTAGATAAGAGTGTCATAAGCTGTAAACTTAGCCTTGGTTTCTACACACACATCACACTGTCTATTTTACTGAATATAGAGGGATACAGGTTTCCAGAATGTAGGAGCGCAATGGGAGCTGATAAAGGCACATTTTATATATAGTGGAGGGTCTGGTGCACATACAGAACTCCTGTGATGGCATCTATCCACATGGAGAACAAGGAAGGGCTCCTTCCATCAGATCTGTGATGATGCCTTGGAGAGACTGCAGAGCATGTGTAGACAGGGAAGGGTCTTTGATTGACTCTGAAGCATTCAATATGGACTCTTAGTTTCAGCTGCTTCTTCATTTGCCTCTCCTTGCTTGGCCTCATTTGATAACTCCTTAACTCAAGGCATCTGGTTGAGAGACCATGCCAACCTGGAGAGTTTTAAAAGGAATCTGGGAGTTGGAGTCCAGGCCAGGTTTTGCAGATGGTGCAGCACGGATGAGCTAAGGACCAATAAGCAACCTTTGAGAGTGACCTTCGGGACCTCATCCTATCGATTCTTGAGAGGACCAGTCCCTTACAAATACTATCTTTGGATGTGGAGATGGTGGGACCAAAGTCATGGCAGAAATTACAATGGATTTAGAGTCAGAGACTCTAGGTTGGAACCCCACCTTCAATGACTATTACCTGTGTTACTTTGGGTAGGTTGCTTCATCTCGGGGGAGGGGATTCAGTTTCCTCATGTACAAATTGATAGCATTAGGAGTGCTGGTTCTGCTCTACCTTAGTGTCTCTGTTAATTCTTCCCACCAATGAGAATAATTTGAGGCACCAATGAGTGAAATTCTTGCAAAATTTCTACAAAAGGAAATGACTCTCTCTCTCTCTCTCTCTTTCTCTCTCTCTCTCTCTCTCATAGAGAGTTCTCGTCACTGTGGTGGCTTCCTTCATAATACTTCTGGGATATTTTCAAGTCCTTTGTATTTGCCACACTCTTTGAAAAATATCAACTGTACTTGGGAAATACAAGTGAAATCTAACTAGAGGATACATTTGGGCTTTAGTCATTGTGAGTGAGTAGTATGACCACGGGGCAGCTAGGTGGTGCAGTGGATAGAGTGCTGGACCTGGAGTCAGAATAGACCTGAGTTCAAATGTAGCCCCAGACACTAGCTGTGTGACCCTGAGCAAGTCACTTCACTTCAGTTTCCTCATCTCTAAAATGGGCTGAAGAAGGAAATAGCAAACCACTCTAGTATCTTTGCCAAGAAAACCCCAAATGAGGTCACGAAGAGTCGGACATGACTGAAAAATGACTGAAGAACAAGAAGATTAAAGAATTAGTTCTTCAGATGCTAGATCTAGAAGTATTTTGGGAGCTGCATGATAGGCATAATAGAATACGATAGAACATTTCTTACAAGACTCACAGGTCATCAGGACTCAGTGAGTCATGTTGGCTAGAAGAAAAGAATCAAGGTTTTTACTTCAGTCACAAAGGACTAACAGACTAATTAGTCATCCTAGTTTTCATCCTCAAGCAACTCAGTGTTATAAAATTGCCATTCTTTGAACCATAGCTATCAAAGAGGAAAATCATGTGGAGTTAAAGAGAGATGGACAGCTAGGTGGCTAAGTGGATAGTACACTAGGTCTGGAGTCAGGAGGACCTGAGTTCAAATTTGGCCTGAGAAACTTACTAGCTGTGTGACCCTGGGCAAGTCACTTAAGTTATGTTTGCCTTGATCCATTGGAGAAGAAAATGGCAAAGCACTCTAGGGCCTTTGCCAAGAAAACCCCAGATAGGAACACAAATAGTCAGACGCGACAGAGATGACTGAACAACAAAAAAGGGAGATAGTGGGAAAGATAGACATTTATACACATGTACACACATAAAACATTTCCTTGGTCTAGTTGGTCTCATTTCAATCAATCATTCAGTCAAGGAGCATTCATGGAATTATTCTATGTGCTGGGCTACAAAGGCAAAAATGACAGTTTTTGCTCCGAAGGAACTTATATTCTATGGAGGAGACAATATGTATTCGTATAAGTGTATAAGGAACAAATACATGGCCATTTAGAGAAGAAAGGAATGACTAGTTGGGAAGAATCGCATGATTCTTCTTGTAGAAAGTCATGCCTGAGTTGAGTCTCAGAAGAAGTAAAAGGGCTTAGGCAAATGCATTGTGACAGGTGATGAAGTCTTATGTGGATGGAATGCCAAGAAGGCCACTGTGGCTAGGCTCCAGGGTTGGGGAGCCTGTGGCCTTGAGGGCATATGTGGCCTTCTAGGTCCTTAGGTATGGCCTTTTGACTGAGTTCAAAGAACAAATCCTTTTATTAAGGGGATTTATTTGGTGAGGTTTGGATTCAGTTAAAGGGTTGCACTTGAGGACCTAGAAAGCCATATATGGCCTCGAGGCCTCAGGTTCCCCATCCCTGGCTAGACCATAGATCGTGGGAAGGGGGATAACATATAATGAGGCTGGAAAGATAGATTGGGACCAGGCTGAGAAGGACTTTAAATGACAAACACACGAGTTTATATTTTATAATAGAAACAGTAGGGAACCAATGGCATTTACTGAGTAGGAGAATGAGACATAATCACACCTGTGCCTAAGGAAAGTCACTTTATTTTCTGAGTGGGGGATGAATCATCATGGGGAGAGACTTGAGGCAGGAAGCCCAGCTAAGATGCCATTGCAATAGTTAGAGCGAGAGGCTGCGAAGGCCTGAAAAAGGACTGTAGCTAATTGAATAGTGAGAACGGGATGGATATGAGAAATGTCATGAAGGAAGAGATAGCAAGATTTGGCGTCTGATTAAAATGGTGTGAGTGAGAGTGAGGAATGCAGGATGATGCCAAGATTGCAAAACTGGGAGGGATAGAGCCCTTGGCAAAGCAGGGAAGTTCAGAAGAGGGGGCTGGGTTTGGGCAAAAGATCAGTTCAACTTTGTACATTGTATGTTTGAGATGTCTGTGGGGGTCTGGTTTGAAATATCTTTTTTTTTTCAGCCAAAGACAAAGTTTATTAAAGATCTGCCATATTAGCCAGACTCTTGAGGAATCTGAGAGTCTGTGAGATATTGGCTAGATTCTAAGAATCAGAGCAGTGGATGGATTTTAGGAATCAGAGCCCAGTTTGAAATATCTTAAAGGCATTTGTTGATGTGGGACTGGAGCCCTGGGGAGAGACTTGGGTTGGAAATATATGCATATATATATATACACACACATATATATATACATATACATATACATATATACATATATATACACATATATACACATACATATATACATATATACATATACCTATATGTATATATATATATAATATGTATGTATAGATATAATATATACATACACACACACATACACACACACACACATATATATATATATATATATATATACATATATATGTCATATGCATAGAGATGAAGATTAAATCTCTGGGAGCTTATGAGGTCATCAAATGAGAGAATCTAGGGAGAGAAGAAAAGAAGTCCCAGGACAGAGCCTTGGAGAACAATCACATTTAGGAACATGGTAGTATGGATGGTAATTCTATAAATGAGATTGAGAAGGAACAGATAGACAGGTAGCGGTAATTTCGCACTTTCCAAGCCTTTATCAGGGCACTTGAGAACCAGATTTCATTCAATCTTGTTTGCAGAGAATAAGTGGAAGAGCTGACCTCTGTTTATACCCACTATCATTGTCCTCAGCAAGCCCTCTTAGTTCACCATCCAGTCTGCCGATGCTTGCAGGCTGCTCACAGCCTTAGCACACTGATGGGGTTGGGGGTTGTATGTGTTGAACTGCCCAAATTCCAAAAATGCAGGAACTCTGCTTCCCTTTCTTCTCCTTCAGTTTAGTGATAAAGTAGTCTGGAAAAGACTTGCGCAAGTGTGTGTGTGTGTGTGTGTGTGTGTGTGTGTGTGTGTGTGTGTGTGTGTATGTGTGTGCATGTGTGTGTGTGTGCGCGTGTCTGTGTGTGTAGGGGAACATGAGTACTAGGGTGGGAAGGATATCAATAAATACAGTACTGTTTTCTTGACTGCTCTTTCGAAATGACAATTACTTTCCTGGATCTGGTTCTAGCTCAGCAGCACATGTAGCCATTCATTAGCTGTAGCTTCAAGAGGCCAATGAGCTACTTCGTACAATAACATTCTAGTTTCTGCATTGTCGTGATGTGGGAGTTCAGAGTCACTGAACAGTTTATTTGCAACTAAGATGCTGATAAGCTATGTTCTGACTATTCTTCTTCAGTCTGATGACACACACTTCTGGTCATGATTATATTAAAATCTTTGATGGGTCATTGCATGGTCGGTTGCTGGCAAAATTTAGCAAAAGAGCAGAGGAAAGATTCATCTCCTCCAACTGACTGACTAGTCACTTTGTCAGTGAAGTCAATTTGCAAAACTCAGGATTTTCTGCTGGGTATAACTCTTTTCCAAGTGGTAAGAACTGACAAGAGTTGATTGGGCATGTGTAGCCAAGAGTCCTCTTTTGCTTTGATCCCAGGCATAAGAGAACGCTTTTGTGAATGGTCGTCTCCGAAGTTTTATCTTTCTTTTCCTGTATTTATACTCAGTTGGCATAGTCAGAAGCATTAGAGTCAAAATCAAGAGACCTGGATTCCAGCTCTGGCTCCAACACTAGGTAGCTGTGTGACTTGGAGCAAGTCAACTCACTTCTTAGAGTTTCAGTTTTCTCATCTAGAAAATGAAAGTATTGAATTAAAGGTCCCTTCCAACTCTAATATTTGAGGTTTTTCTTGTCCTCAACATGGTTGATTTCAAAACATAGCCTAGAGTTAACATTGATGCAGAATACATGGATATGGGTTGTTTTGAATCCAGACCCATCGTTTCATTGGAACTCCCAGTGAGAAAACTCTCTCTCTCTCTCTCTCTCTCTCTCTCTCTCTCTCCCTCTTTTTTTTTTTTTTGTCAAGGCAATGGGGGTCAAGTAACTTGCCCAGGGTCATGCAGCTAGTAAGTTTCAGATATCTGATCTGAGACCGGATTTGAACTTGGGTCCTTCTGATTCCAGAGCCAGTGCTCTATCCACCGCACCACCTACCTGCCCCCAAGAAAGCTCCCTTTACCAGGGCCCATTAGCAACTGCTCTGCAATCCATGCTGATAGGTAACAGCAATGCAACCAGTATGGGCCAGAGGTGGGAGCTGAATGCAAGTCTTCTTAGCGCTGAGGCTTGGCTTTCTATCCCTTATGCCTTTCATAAGGAACTATATATGTATGAAACAAAATGAAGACATTTATAAATGTGCCCAGGGCCTGGCACATAGTTATACCTGTGTGCAAGGAGAACAAAGACCTTAATTTTGCTGAGGCTGTAATTTCTTTTAACATTCTATTAGCAATGAGAAGGTTGATCCAAGATGATGAAATACGCCAGAGGAAGCATAGGGCAGGTTTCCCTCCTCCCCTATTCCTCCAGACAGAACTTGAAAATGTATTAGGTTGGGGACTGACTGGAAAAATCCGAGAATAAGTCACAGCAAACTTTTTTTTCCCAGCCTGGGTCAGCAGAGAAGTCTGTGGACATGGGGATGGGGGTCTGGCCAGGAGTGGGTGGCATGGGACACTCCAAAGCTCAGTTTTAACCTCAGTTTTAATTTCTAATATGATAAATATCAATAGATACAATCCATATAAACAAAGGTTCAATAATTTTAAGAGTGTAGCTGGGTCCTGAGACCAAAAACTTTGAAAATGTCTGGTCTAGGTCATCCCGTAAAAATATCCTTTTTTTAAAAAAATAATCTTGCCTGTAAAACATAGAATCAAAAAGTATTAGATCTGGAATCTTTAGAGATCATCTAGCACAATTACTTCATTTTATAGATGAGGAAACTGAGGACCAGAAAGTTAATTACTTTTCCTAAGATAGTATCCTTATCACAAATACCTAAGTGGGCCTTGGGGACAGGTTGAATAAGACTAAAGATTAATTGGAGAGAGATGAGAATTTGATAGAATGTTAAATGATCCCTGACTTGTAGCTAAAGATCCGAGGTACCTTATGCTCTGTTTCTCTCTTCCAAATGCAGCCTTTAGGCTGATCAATTCAACTAGTTATGACTGCTCTGGAAATGTTGAGGTTTATCACAATGGACAGTGGGGGACAGTTTGTAATGATTTCTGTAGTCTACCAAATGCTGAGGTGTTCTGCCGACAGCTGGGCTGTGGAAAAGCTGTTTCGGCCCCAAGAAAAGCCTACTTTGGTCCAGGCTCTGGACCCATCATCCCATCTAAAGTGTGGTGTAAAGGGGAGGAATTAAACCTCTGGTAATGTCAGAATAATGGCTGGGTCTCCCATAACTGTGATCACCATGATGATGTTGGCATCACCTGCTCAGGTATTTTATTATTTAGTAGTCTTCTTGAGAGTCACATTTTATTCATTTATTCATTCTGTAATTTTACAAATATTCCTTGAGAATTACTCTGTGCAAGACCCTGGGATAGGTACTGTGAGGGATACAAATAGCATGGTATATTCCATATCTCGACTTATATCATGGAACTTACAAACTAACAGAGGGAGGAGATAAGGCAAATGCACAAATAACTGAAATACAAAATAGAATTGGGCAGCAGCATCAGAATGGGATAAAGGATTCAGGAAGTTCAGAGAAGGAAATGCTTACTTCTAGAGGACAGAGAGACCTGGGAGAGAAGGAAGAAGCCCTGGTTTGGATGTCAGCAATTCTGGTAGATTGGATAAAAAAATCGGGCTTATTTTGTATCCCCATTTTATGTTTACTCACAAATTTATTGTGTGTATAAATAAACATCAGCTGTGGTTCTGGTTTGCTCAAAACCTCACAGAGTAAATGCATCTAACCTATTGTTGGGATCATCATTATAGGTCAGCCATGTTAATGCCTTTGTCAGTATGTTCATCTTAATCTGTAAGCTCCAAGGAAGGATGAAATTTTCACATATATGCATGTTATTCAGTCATCTCAGTTGTGTCCAACTCTTCATGACCCCATTTGGGGCTCTCTTTGGTAAAAATATTGGACTGGTTTACTACTTCCTTCTCCAACTCATTTTACAGATGAGAAAACTGAGGCAAACAGGGTTAAGTGACTTACTTGCCCAGGGTCACATAGCTAGTATGTGTCTGAGGCCAGATTTGAACTCATTTTTGGGTCTCGCTTCTGCCATTTAGAGACTAGTAGAATAAGTCCAATCCCCTCCTTCCTTTTTTCTACATTGCAGCCTTTGACTTTTTTTTTTTAATGCTTCTATCTTGAGAGTCTTTAAGACTCTCTCTAGTCTCTCTGACATGCAGCTATATACACTCAACTCCACCTTGGCAATTGTTATCTGCTTGGTCTTTACTTTTTGAGAGGTTGGGGAAGTAATTAGAAAAAAAAATTAGTCTTTTTTGGGCTGGCTGAACTAGTAGGCAAATTAAGGAGATTTTGTGGGATGTAATAAAAATCCAAGAACATGAAATTGCCTTATACTTCATTAATAATAAGCCATTCTCTTGTCAACCTAAGCTATCTAGAACATAACTGTTAATCACAAAGTAAGTACATAAGACGTCTGGAAAGCCACATATACAGCCCATGAATTCTATAGTAAAGCTTATGCTCTTTGTTAATGGGAGGGCCCTTTCATCCTTACCCAGAAGCTATATACTCATATTTTGTATACAGTTCTAATAAACTTAGTTGTCTGGTTTCTAATATCTAAGCAGGGTAGAAGCAACAATTAAAGAGGTATAAGGAAGTGGGAATTATTAAAGATAAGGTTGTTGACAGTGTTGAGAAGTAAAGTAGGAGAGGAGGCAAAAAAACCCCCAACAACTTAAAAGTAGGCCTAAGAATTTAAAAAACACAGCAGTTTAGGACCATTTGGAATATGGGCAAACCAGTTCTATGTACTTGTTATTCCCATTTTACAGGCAAGAAAATGATACCCAGACTGGTGCATAAAACGTGGAGGAGATAAACTTCATGCCCCCCCCCCCCAAATTTGCCCAGGGTGAGCTATTCCCTTACTCCCACTCAACCTCGAGGGAACATTCACAAATGGCCCTAGAGTATTCTACACAAACTGGCTATGTGAGCCTGGGCGAGTTCCTTAATCCCCAGTGGCTGCAGACAGCTTCCCAAGACGAAAAGTTATAGATAAATTGCTGACATACATTACTTTTCATATTCCTTTGCTGATGAAATTATGTCTGTATGAAAGGAAGGAAAGAAGGAAGGAAGAAGAGAAGGAAAGGAGAGGAAGGAAGGAAGAGGAGGGAGGAGAAAAGAGAAAAAAGGAAGGAGAGGAAAGGAGGGAATGATGAAAGAAGGAGAGGAAGGAATGAGGAACAGAGAGGAAGGGAGGGAGGGAGGGAGGGAGAGGAAGAGGAAGAGAAGAAGGGAGGAAGAAAAGTAGAGAAAGGGGGAAGAGAACAAGCATTTATTAAGTGCTTATTACATACTGTATTACACTGTATGTAATACACTGTGTTAAGCACTTTGCAAATATTATCTTATTTGATCCTCACAACAACCCTAGGAGGTAGTGATATTAAGTGGAGCAATCTACCATTGAATGAAACTACTTAATGAAACTACTCTTTCTATTTACTGCTTCCTAGATTTTATTTTTATTATTATGGTGTAATGCTGCTAATTTGGTACTTTATTTTGTGACCTGAAATGTTGATGAAGCTAGAGTTTTCTAAGTAAGCCATCATGTCAGAAGAAATTGGAGTAGTTTTGCTTCTTATTTGCCTACCTTTATGCCTTCTATTTTTTTCTTGTAATAGCTGTTGCTAGTATTTCCAAAATTGTATAAAATAATAGCAGGGAAAGGAGACACACTTGCTTTTCTCTTATTTATATTCATTGAGTAAGTTTCTGATGTATCCCCATTTCACATAATGCTTGCTTTGGGTTTTAGATAGATAACTTTTATCATATAAAAACCCTCAACCTTTATTTTGTAGGGATTTCATATATATATATATATATACATATATATATATGTATATATACACACACACACACACACAACACACACACACACATATATATATACATATGTAATTATATGTATATGTGTGATTTACTTTGTCAAAACCTTTTTCCTGCATCTATTGAAATAATCATATGGTTTAGAACATTTTTGCTTTTAGTATGATTATGTTGATTATTTTCCAAATGTTGAATCATCCTTGCATTCCTGGTATGAATTGAATCATGATAAATGGTCATAATGGATGATTTTTTGGGGATGAATTGCTATAGTCTCTTTGACAATATTTTGTTTAAGATTTTGGAATTGACATTCATTATTGGTATTGACCTATAGTTTTCTTTCTTTGATTTATCCTTTCATTTTTAAAAGAGTTTAATCTATCAGGTCTAGGAGGTTTTTCTTCTTCTGAGATTGGACTATATAAGATCTTTATTTGATATTCTATTAATTATTATATTTTATATTTTTGGAGATAATCCTCTATTTCTTTTGTGTTATCAGTTTTGCTGAGAACTGTATATATAACTGTATACAGCAGATATTGATTTTTCCTTTATATTAAATTCATTACTTTTAAAAGAGAATTCTGGTGGGTTTGCTGGGTTCCTGCATTCCAAGATACTCATTCCCTAAGTGATATTACATTGTGCAAAAAGAGCAGTGCCAATAAGACTAATGAACATATAAGTTTCAAATGGCATAAGTGTCTGATTTTAGTTAAAAAGTGCTTTCACATCTATGATCATGTCTGATTTTCACAACAGCTCCACGAAGCCAGTAGAGAGAGGGTTATCATTTCTATTTTATATATGGTCAGGCTGAGATCTGAATTCCTGTTTTGTTTTTACAGCAAATTACTCTTGTGGAGGCTTCCTTTCCCAACCCTCAGGAAGAATCTTCAGCCTGAATTACCTGGGAAACTCTCCAAAAACACCAAGTGTTTCTGGGATATTGAAGTATCAAACAATTACCTTGTGACCATAGTATTTGGAGATGTTTGGTAAGTGAAAAACCTTTGACAGAATGGAAAACAACCAAATTGAAACAGTGAATTTGAAAAAAAAAAACAAAAACCAGGGCTATCTACAGGAATTTCGTTCTATCAGACCTCTAGAAATAGTTAAGGGATACATCACCATGTAAGGGGTGGAAACTTCTCTCCCTGACAATGACCAGCAGCAAGTGCTCGTTTTATTCAACAGTTATATTATCCCTAGATAGTATGGGATGGTGATGCACAGTTCAAACAGCCAATGATATGGGATTAAGGAATCATGGAATTTGCAAAACTCCTTTTCTCCTCCCCCTTCCCACTGTTGATTCAACTCAAGAAGAAGGTCCTGAAGAATATCGGAGGATCCAGTATATTTTGCGGCTTCAGAAATTTGCCGTCAGTGGCTATCACAGAATCCTCAGACTGATGCCTCATTTCATCCTTACCACTTAATAAATAACTAGATCTGAGGGAGACATTTTCAACTGGGGCCTGAGTGATACTCAGAGAGTGATGCTAAGAGAGTGATACCCTTTAAATGCACCAATGTGATCGTGGACCTTGACTGATGGATATTTTGAATTCAGGGAAACTCCTGTCCAGCTGACAGTTTTAAGACAGGTTAACAGGCTGAATACTTCACCAACACCCACATGCTCTCCCTTGCTGAATGCCTTTCTCTACCATCTCTGTCTTACTTTTTCCTGGTTGCATTTCAGTGGAGTGTTAAAAATTATTAAAGGGATTAGATTGCTACTTGCTTTCCTGATTAGGAAGTTTGTTTATTGGAAGATATTATCAGAGGGCCAATCTAGTATGTGGCCTGTCAAAAATTATATACTTAGGTGGTCAATTTGACCAAGGGGAAAGACTAAAATTCATTGCTTTCATTGACAAAGATTATTATTTTTAAACTTGTTGCTCCATAAAAATGTTTTTACCTTCTTACCCACTAGTTAATAATGATGGTAATGATGTAGCACTTCATATACATTATCTCATTTAAATCTTATAAAGGCCCAGTGTGGTAGGGGGTAGGTGTTAACTCCATTTTATAGATCAAGAAAATGAGGATCAGAGAGACTAAGTGACATCTATTTATAGTCACACAATAGCAAGTGTGAGAATCAGCATTTGAATCCAGGTCTTCCTGACTTCTAGTCTAGCTCTGTATCCCTTATTCCATGCTGTTATAGCACCTTTTTGTATTTCTTATTGTAATATTTAAAGCTTTTTAGGATTCTCTTTATTCCCTATATTTTAAGGCATCATAACACTATACATTTATACAGTGTACTATGGTTAGAAAATACTTCATATATTGTATTTCATTTGAGGGTGACATCAATTCTGTGCCACAAGATAGATATTATTGTTTAGGTGGCACAATGGATAGAGTGTTGGACCTGGCTGAATATGGTTTGACCTTGGGCAAGTCATTTAATTCTGTTTTCATTGGTTCCTTATCTGTAAAATGGGTATAATAATATGCTGACCTCCCAAAGTTGTTGTGAGGATAAAATGAAACAAAATTCATAAATTACTTCACCAATCTTAAAAGTGCTATATAAATGCTAGTTATTATTATTATTGTTATTAATTATTAGCCTCAACTTTGGATATCATAAGATAACAAGATTCAAAACTGGAAGAGATTTTAATCACTATCTCCTAGCCTAATTGAACTTCATTTTTAGACAAGGAAAGACACAGAAAGATTAAGTGACTTGCTTGCTTAACATCACACAGCTAGTAAGCAGTGGAGTCAGAGCTGCAACCTTGGTTTGTTAAGGGCAAATGCAGTGCTATTTTACTTAGGACATAACATGCCCCGCCACTGTAATTCAAAATGGCATTCCTCTTCTTCTCCTACTGTGTTCATTTGAGGTTAGAGCTGTGAGGAGCAAGGAGGCACTTTCTCACCCAAGATACCAATCTTATATTTTGCTGGAGGCACTGTGCCCAACCACCCTATCTAGCCCCGTTCTCATGAGGGAACTGCCTTTTCCCACAATCCCATGATGAGGTCTGGACTCTAGCCAGATCTACTGCACCTGCAATGAATTGGCCTCTTCATCTCTCTCCTCATCCTCACCAGCCCATTCAAGCTTGTCAGTCAATACATTTTTATTATGTATTGTGCAAGACACTGTGCTACATGCTGGATATACAGACAAAGGCAAAATACAGCCCCTGATCTCAAGGAGCTTATGGTTTAATGGGAGAGACAATGTGCAAACAACTGTGAACAAACAAGCTATACATAGGACAAATCGGAAATAATCAACAGAAGGAAGGCACTAGTATTAAAAAAGGCAGAAAGAATAGTGACATAATTTCAGAAGGGGGAAAAGTGGGAAGAGAATGGGATATTAATGGGGGGAAAATCCTTGGGGAAGTGATAGGGTCAAGTGAAATTCCTTGGACAGCCAAGATGCAGCGTAAGTTCACTGGATCCCTTAAAAGAGCAATAAGGTGAAGAAGGTAAGAAAAAGGAGATGTAGGGACAGCAGGATCCTTCATGTCTAGGGAAGGTAAAACTAAAACATCCTTTGTTTTTGGCTCCTTAGGAGAGAAGAAAGTTGTCTCTATGATTATATTAAAATCTACAATGGGCCTTACCAGACATCCCCTAAAATTAAAAGTTTGTGGTGTTGATAGAGGCTCCTTTACCTCAACATTCAACTTCATGTCTGTTTACTTCATCAGCAGTAGCGAATTCTAGGCTCTGGGTTATTCCACACCTTCCAACAATGGCACTTGTAAGTTTCCTCTCCAGCAAAGCGATTGGCTGGTTGGTGACCAGATTAGACTCTTGCCTCTGCCACTTCCTGGTTTTAAGTGAAAGCTTACATTAATAGTATAATTAATAAATATACTAATAATGGAAGCTCCATTATTAATACAGTCAGGCCACTGAGTTCTCAGTACATTCGTTTGATGGTGTTAAATGGGGGGAGAGAAAAGGGAAATGAACGTGAAACCTATTCCTGAAGTGCAGTTGTAGACTTGTTAAGTACTCCAATTATTCCTTCCCACCCCTCCTTTCCTCCTTTCAGTATTTGAGATACTGAAAGAGAAGGTGTAATAGGGGTATTAATTAAATAATTTTAGAGCTGATTAAGGTCTCTCCAAGCTGTAAATTCTATAATTCTATCCATTAGAGATCATTTAATCTAGTCTTTTCATAGAGAGAATGAAACATGAAGAGGGTTGTGTAGTTGGTTAATAGGTCTCCATTCTACTGGTCCAGAAATGTGTCTAACACACAGTTAAAAAAATTCCTTCACTATTTTCATGGATCCATGAACTCACTGCTGTGGGTACTGTCTAGTGGTTCAAGTCTCAATATACCCAAACCCTTTTATTTAATGCAATTCATAAGAATGATTCCTGTCCTACTAGAAGTCCTTTACAAAGGACCTCCCCATTTGCCAGATGCCTTCTTCTTAGCCTTTTTCTATTTTGTGAATACCAGCTGGACTGCCTAGCTATAATCCTTCTTTCAGGTCACTCTTGCCAAAAGACTTTCTTACCTAGTAGCCAACTAGTTACTGATGATCCTTGACATACTTTGGTAGGGTGGCTTTCAGACAGAAGACCCAGTCTCTGTCTCTGAGACCATGGTCTTTTCGTAGTTGTAGAACCGCCTAGGGCTTTCTGCTGTACTTGATAACATTCAAGAATCCAGGATCACCTCCCTACCACTAGGAGGCATCATGGTAGTACTTCTATGGAAGATGATAAAATGAAACATGAACGAAATTGTCAGGAGAAATAGACCAAAATTCTTCTGGTACTTTATTATTCCTTGGGAGCATGTGAGAACACTTGAGAAGGTACATTCCCTCTCTTAGGCAGCTGAATTACATCTTAGACCTTATATGAATATTGGAAGTATCACCCTGGTTCATTTTTATGGTTTATTGATGACAATGCAGAGTGGAATTTTGGTGGAGGCCATCCATGGCTGTCCTCCATGATGGTTAAGGGTAGGACCCAGACATGGCTCTTTCCCTCCTACCCTATTAAAAACCTTAGTATGGCATTATTCACAATAGGATCCAATTTGATATGACATTCCTCCATACTGAATCACAAGATTCCATAGTAGACTCCAGAAAGCAATATAGGATAATAGAGCTATAATTGGAAGAGACCTTATAGGCCATCCAATCCCCTTGTTTTACAGATGAAGAAACTGAGGTCCAAGGAAATGAAATTTCTTGTCCAACATTAACACAAACAGTAGGTCAAAATGAAGACCTAAGATATTTATTTTCTAGGGAATAATCCTTTATGATTACAAATTATTTTGGTTCCCTGAAAGCATTTAGTACTGGCAAAGGAACTTGACAATGAAATTTGATTGTATTTAATTTCTTGCCTTGATTTTCCCATCTGGGAACTGAATTATATTTTATTTTATTTTTTTACTAATTTATTTTTAGTTTTCAACAATCACTTCCACAAGCTTTTGAGTTTTAAATTTTTCTCCCCTTTCCTCCCTCCCTCCTTCCCCAAGATGACATGAAATCTGATATAGACTCTACGTATACATTCCTATTAAACATATTTTCATGTTAGCCATGTTGTAAGGAAGAATTGGAACCAATAGGAGGAACCACCAGAAAGAGGAAACAAAACAAAACAGAAGAAAAAAAAAGAGAGCAAACAGTATCTTTCAGTCTGCATTCAAACTCCATAGCTCTTTTGCTGGTGTGGATAGCATTTTCCATCATGAGACTTTTGGAGATGTCTTAGATCCTTGCATTGCTGAGAAGGGCTAAATCTATCAAAGTTAGTCATCACACAATATGGCTGTTTCTGTGTACAATGTTCTTCTGGTTCTGCTCACTTCATTCAGCATCAGTCCATACAAGTCTTTCCAGGTTTTTCTGAAGTCCACTTGCTCATCATTTCTTATAGCACAATAGTATTCTATCACATTCATATATTACAACTTGTTCAGCCATTTCCCAGTTGATGGGCAGATCCCCTCAATT